TTGTCCTTTCCTCGACCCTTCCCATGACCCTGACCTTGGCCTTGACCTTGACCCTGACCTTGACCCTGACCTTGGCCTTGACCGTTGTTGCCCTTAGCCTGGCCTTGGCCACCTTGAGTCTGACCGTTGTTGCCCTGTCCTTGACCCTGACCTTGGCCTTGACCGTTGTTGCCCTTAGCCTGGCCTTGGCCACCTTGAGTCTGACCGTTGTTGCCCTGTCCTTGGCCTCGACCTTGACCGTTGCCTTGACCTTGACCGTTGTTGCCCTTAGCCTGGCCTTGGCCACCTTGAGTCTGGCCGTTGTTGACCTGACCTTGGCCTTGACCATTGCCTTGACCTTGGGCACCTTGGGTCTGGTTGCCCTGTCCTTGGCCATCGCCAATAACTTCAAACTTGGTGCAGTCATCTTGCGCGCCTCGCTGAGCAACAGGCATGGCGACAGGCTGGTGGTTCGCGGTTCCGATCAGGGTGCAGACGCGGTACACGCCAGGCGGCAGCCCGCCCGTGACGACGGCCTGCAGCAAGCCCTGGCCGTTCCCGGCGTCGTCGATGCCCTTGAAGAAGGCAAACAGCTTGGGGTCAGGCGGCGTCGTCGAGTCGAACGAGCCGATGGACTGGACGGTGACGTGGCAGTGGCCGATGATGTCGCCGCGGCTGTCGAGGTCCTGGGGCGCCGAGTAGTAGTTTGTCGTCGGGTTGACAAACACGCCGGCCTTGAGGTGGGCCACCTGGACGGAAATGGTGAACGTCGTCTCGGCGGGGATGGTCTTGCCCGGCTGCGGGTTCGTGATCATGGCCGAGATCATGTTGTCGACGCTGGGCAGCTTGCCCATGGGGATGCCGTTGCAGGACCCCGTCTTGATTTGGGCGCCATTGGTGATGGTCTGGCCCCGGCAGAAGTTGATAAAGTTGTCATTATCGCTGCGGTGCTCACGTCAGTATTTTTCTCCTTCTTCTTCTTTCGTTCGCTTGTCTGCTACAGAGTGGTTTGGGACTTACGTTGCGGACGGCGACTGTCCGGCCTTGGCGCCTGGGGTGCCCGGCTCCTGACCGGTACGACTACTGGCGCTCTGGATCAAGTCTTTTTGCAAGCAGTTTGGCTGGTTCTGCCGGGCGAATATATCTCGAGGGTGATGCTTGATAGAGTTGTGCGTCGGGCCGAACAGAGAAGCCTCGATCAGGCCAGCTGATGCGAGGATCACGTAGATGGAACTAGCCAACATGATGTTGTGTTCGAAGTGGAAACAAAGAACGATTGTGAACAAACAAACCAAGCAGAAAATGAGTGAATGGAAAGAATGGAAAGAATGGAATCGACTGGGCTGAGATGACTTGGCGTCAATGGGGATACTGCCGAAGGCTTGGCTCGCACTTATATACAGAACATGACGAGGGTGCTGGTGGGCCAGGTGCCAGGCCGATGGGACGTTTGACACTTACACCCTGACAGGATAGGGCCAGGAGGCGAGATGGTTTGACACTTGAGGCTTGCTCCCGAGGCAGGCTAGACTGCCATCTCGTGTATCCCTGAATGACGCGTAGCTACAGGGCGGAAGCTGAAGCCAGGGGGGGAGCTTGACTTCACGGCAACGGGCGCCATCGTGGACAGCGTAGCAGGCGAAGGGGGCGGCACGATGACTGCAGGAGTCTTGACTGCAGTGGTTCAGAGATGACCCAGCCGCCCGATACATGGGAAGATCCTTCGTGCACCAACGGGGGATCTGCCGAGCATGTTGCAGATTCGGGAAACTCCTTCAGATCAGGGGCGCATCCCGCTACCGTTGTACCATGTACGGTCAATGGGGGGAGGGGGCCGACCGAATCGAGCAATTGAAGTCACCTCATCATGAGGCAGCCTTTTTCTGCTGATTTGGTGACATGGGGATGAAACGGTGCTGGTCGGACGACTGGCGTCTCAACCCCGCGAACTTGTTCTCTTTGTTCTCTACGGGTAATCGGCACTGGGATTGCGTCCATGGCACAGCATGGGTTTGCAGGCATACGCGACTTCGACGCGCCCATTGGGAAAAGAGCAGTCGGCTTGCTCCGATCAATTCTTTCATGAATCGAAGAAAACCCTCCCTTGTCGTCTCACCCACAAACCTTGTGTGCCAGACTTCACTAGTCCAATCTCGCCAAAAGCCTCACTCGCGAAAAAAACAAGCCCCTAACCCCCTCTGCAACATTGTAGAGCAGGACACGCATTTTAGCAGTGTTTCTGCACCAAACCAAAAAAGAAAAAACTACCAATGAGCAACACGATCTTTCGCATCTTCAACCCTGGAGGTAGGCAGGTTTCTTCCCATCGTCCATGTCGGTCTGCATGAAATTGCTTTAACGTGGACTAACACGATAGCAACTGTAGCACCGAAGGAGGATCCCCTACAAAAGCGAAGAGGCCAGGTCCGCCGTGCACAACAGTGAGGTCTAGTCCCTGTCATGGCTTGTGTTGAACTCAGTTAAGATTATGCAGAGCCTATCGTGATCGGAAAGACAAGTACACTAAAGCGCTCGAGAAGCAGCTCGCAGAGACTCGATCAAGCGAAGCGAGATTAACACGCGAATGTGAGGACCTTCGTGCTGCTCTTGATCGAGCATCAGGCCTCCTTGCACAACATGGCATCCAAGCGCCCCTAGAGCTGCATCAGACCGGCTCCTCGGCCTTGGACCGCACGAGTCCCGGTCAGCGGGTTGTCGAAGCGCTTTCATCGCCCATGCTGTTCTCACCAGCGTCACTCGCTAAGCACCATCTGCCCGGCGGCCATGCGGCGCCAGCAACGTTGGTCGAAGACGATGGCAACCGCTCCACGCCAGGAGTAGCGCAGGGCAGCCCCCGCGTCTGTGAATGTGACCAAGTCACCATGGCCATGGAATTTGTGTTGAAGTGCGTTGCCACCCTGTCGCTCTCTTCTTGCCCAGCGGGCTCCAAGATGGACCACACAAAGTCCTTTGGTGCAGAAGACGTGTGCCGAGAACTTGACCTTGGAGACTGACCTGGATCCGTAGAGTTGAAGAGCCCTGTCTCGGTCATTTTCATGGCGATCCAGGGAAACCAGACGAGCCAAACGGACACGCCCTCACAACGTCGGCTCACCTGTTCTCTCTATCTGACGGCCTGCACTCTGCCAATGCTCGGCACCCTCCCACAGCTTGTCCGTCTTTCCACAACGCGCCGACTGCGATCCTTGAAAGACTGCTGAACTTGGCTCCTGACCTGTCTAATGACGGTGAGATCACGCCCATTCAGGCGTGGAATAGTATTCGATCGCGGCCTCAATTTGGAGGAGTCGACTTGCGTAAGCTTTGGGCGCTTGCTGAGGGGCTGCGAGACGCGGTTCAATGCCACGGGTATGTATTGGTAGCAAATTGGCGCCTCGCCCGATCGTTTGCCCGTGCTTGCTAACGGCCAGTGCCAGGTTTGGGGCCGTGGTCAAGACGCAGGTTTTTGAGAGGTTGGTGCACGAAAAGCTTGTACTGGGGCAATCGTTCTGACGCAATGCTTGGAGTTTCTGCTTGGAGTCTTTGCTTGGAGTCTACGGGTTTTACATATGCAATGCACGATGAAGTTCATGATGATGGCATTGTAGTTTTTGCATGTTGGAGATCGTAGATCAAACTAGACTTTGCCATCTGGAATGCTGATCACAGTGTCTCAACTCAGCGATCGACAGGGAGCCCCAGTAGCTGTCGGCTCCCAGCAAGCTGGGCTGGGCGTGTAAGGTATGGAACGTAGGTAAGGTAAGGCATCTGGGTACTGTACCTAAGGTAAGCAAGAGAATGACAAAAAAGATCACACTCCTTAGAGATGAGCTTACTTTGAACCGTTCAACTATATTTCATGTCAGTTTCAAACTAATGACAGCAGATGTTTCTTGAGAGTGCTGCTGGATATCTAGTACGTAGAATCTCAGAGCATGGACTTGAGATGCAAAGGTATTGAGAGACTTCCGAAGTTAGAAGACTTTCTGGACAAGACTTGTGTTTGGCGATTTTGGAGTGCGCCTTCATCTGTCGCCTCCTTGCTACGCTGCTCAGGTTAAGCTGCTCGGGTAAGGTAGAGTAGAGTACCTACCACCCGTAGCGTAGTGGGGTTGGTGCACTTTACGCGTCGGACGCGTCTCGCCCGCCAATTCCTCTTCACCTTTCCAACTCCCCATCGCCAGACCACACAACCACGGCCTCCCCTCAAAGTCCGTCAACACGCAACCGCCGGGCTTTCAACATCACATCATGGCGGACGCAGAGTTGCAGGAGCGTTTTGGCTCCGGCCACGACCCGATCGAGCCAGATGTCATCAAAGAAATGCAGTCCATCATGCGCCTCTACGAACTCTCTGCCGAAGATCTCTACTACAAGTGGGAGTCCTACTGCATCAAGATGGAGATGGATGCGGCGACAGTCACGCTCCCGCCTCTGCGAAACCTCAAACAGGATATTCAGGATGCCCTGGAGAAGAACACCCGACAACAGACCCAGGTCAAGACAGAGAAGAGGGTGGGCGCGACACCAAGGGCAGCACGGGCTGGCGGTGATGTCTATGGCATGCTCGACGGCCTGTTGCCGAATACGCCTGCATCTGCGAGGAACAAGAACGCGAGCGCCAAGAAGAAGCCCTATGAGACGCCGTCCATGTCGAGGGTCAAGGGCGTGCCCGCCAGTTCGCCGGACTACAAGAGCAGTCCCATGAAGATGGAGGATCATGTCAACTCAATGCTACCGTGAGCGGCCGGTCCCTTGCTGTTTTTGATGGTCGTTCGTACTGACCAGGCAGACCATCTTCCTTCAATGACCGCCCAAACGCCGGCGAGATACTCGAAATTCTCAACGAGCACCTGCAAGCCCCCGAGGCACCCATCTGCCCCTACCCGGAATCCCGTATCAAGTTGACAGCCGCCTCCGACCAGAAGAAGCTCGCCTACAAGCCAATGGGCATGAAATTGTCCGAGGCATCGGAGATCCTGGACGACAGGATAGACGACTTCATGGAGCTGGTCCAGAACCACCATCAGCTCGACCCCTCCGAAATCGGCAGCGCCGCCAACCAGAGCACCACACCCGTCATCGCAGTAGGCCGCATCGCCTCAGATTCCCCCGAGGGCAAGCTGAACGCTGCCTCCATAGTTCTCGAAACGTCACGAAGGACCGGCGGTGGCCAGCGGGTGCCCTTGAACATGGGCCAGAGAGGATTCAGCTTCTTCCCCGGCCAGATCGTCGCTGTCAAGGGCATCAACTCATCAGGCAGCGAGTTCTTGGTCGAAGACGTTCTCGATATCCCGCTCCTCCCCAATGCTGCATCCCTGCCAGCCACACTGGCGGCTCATCGCGAGAGGCTGCGGGGTGACCCAGATGCCATGGACTCGGACTCGGACCCTGCGCCGCTGAACATATTGTTCGCTTCCGGTCCCTATACTGCCGACGACAACCTCGACTTTGAGCCTCTGCAAGCGCTCTGCAGCCGTGCTGCCGACACCTACGCCGACGCTGTCATACTCGCCGGTCCCTTCATCGATGCTGAGCACCCCCTTATCGCCATGGGTGACTTTGACCTTCCGGAAGACGCCGTCATCGACCCAGACACGGCCACGATGACCACTGTCTTTAAATACCTCTTTACCCCCGCGCTCAACCGCCTCGCTGCCGCAAACCCCGCAGTCACAGTACTTCTCGTGCCTTCCGTCCGCGACATGATCGACAAGCACGTGTCCTGGCCCCAGGACACTTTCGCCAAGAAGGACCTCGGCCTGCACAAGGCGATCCGCATCATCTCCAACCCCATGACTCTCTCCGTCAACGAGACGGTCATGGGCCTTTCCTCACAGGATGCCCTCTGGGAGCTGCGTCACGAGGAGGTTGTCGCCGGAAAGCCCAAGGACACCGTGTTGCTTTCAAGGCTCTGTAGGTATCTGCTCGAGCAGAGACACTACTTCCCGCTTTTCCCGCCGGCGGATCGGTCGAAGCTGCCAAAGACGGGCACAGAAGAGGGACTGCCGCCGGGAGCCATGCTGGATGTGAGCTACCTGAAGCTGGGCGAGATGGTCAACGTCAGGCCGGACCTGCTGCTGGTGCCGAGTTTCCTGCCTCCGTTTGCCAAGGTAAGCCTCCCGCGCTCCCTGCGCTTGATTGTCTGTTCTCTGACTTGCTAATGCGGCACAGGTCGTCGAGAGTGTGTTGGTCATCAATCCTGGAGTTTTGTCCAAGAGGCGAGGTGCTGGCACATACGCGCGCATGACGTTGTATCCGCCTTCAGGGCGTGGGGATGCCGAGACCATGGTTAGCCATCAAGTGTTTGACCGAGCGCGTGTTGAGATTACCAAGATTTAGCAAAAATGCACAATGCATGTGACATGCCAATTCCTTTCCAGATTACAATGACAAAGAACAAGATGGATGGTTGGGTATCAGGTATTAAATTTGTTGTTCCTGTGGCACGGCTACGCATGGCGGCCGCCGGCTCACCTGGAGTCTACCCGGCGCCGCTTGTCACTCTCGTGATGGCGGTTGCGATCTTGCGACGGACTGCGTTTCCTCCGGTCACGGTCGTCACGCGAGTCTCGCCGCCGCCGTGGTGATCCTGAGCGCGACCTGTGCCTCCGTCTGTCGTCATCACGGCTGCCGTCTCGCCTGGCGGTAGCTGTCACCCCTGTCCCTGCTCCTGTCCCGGCGCTTCTTCACGATCTCTCTGCGACCTCTCGCCGCTGGGCCTGTCGGGCGCCCTTGACGACCACCACCT